CGGGCGGCGCCGCGGCTGCCGCCGCGGCGAGGGCTCGATCGGGCCACTTGGGAGCTCTGAGCCGTGATCTCGGGGGGCGCGCGTGTTTCGGCGCGCGTCCGGCCTGGCATTTGAATCGAACGTTTTGCGCCGTTGAACCAATATGTTGGTTGCCCGTTGATTTCAAAATCTGTTTTGTGGGGCGCTTTGTTTCTGGCGGGGCCCCGCGACGATAGCGCCGTCGAGAAGGCCCCCCCCCCCTGGGTAGGGGCGGGGCGGAGCTGACCGAGTGCGGCTTCTAGGGCAAAGGGGATTCATTGGGCGACGTGGCGCTTGCCAGGGGGCAGGGCCCCCCTGGCAGACGCGTCGGCCCGCTCGCGTCGGGCGTCGATTTTCAGAGATATCTGTCTTACGGAGGCGCCAATGCATGTTGCGGCCCGCATCGTGGGCGGGGCCCGCGACCCCGCGACGGTTGAGACACCTGCGCGCTTGCAATGCAACGCAGACGGGATCACAATGAGCTGCGGCTGTAGATGCGTCGCGATTTTGTTCCACGAGCAGCTTCAATGGGGGGGGCAAGCTGCGGGGCGACGACAGGCTGCGCCCAGAGGCAGGCCCGTCCAGACCGCCAGGAGAAGAGGCAGTTCAGTCACGGGGTGGCGCTCCTGTCGGCGTTGCGCCAGGTCGCACCGGCACAGGCGACGCGCGCCCTGGCCAAATTGAGGCCGACCCCGAGGGGGGTCTCAGTCCACTGCGCTCTGCAGTGGCGCCGCCGAGGCGCCAGCGAATGCATCAAGCGACGACGTCGTCGACGTCGACGACGCGATTCCCGCCTGCACGGGCGAGGCCGCCGCCGCCCGGCCATCGCGCGGCAGCGCGGAGCTCGCAGGAACAGCAGGTAGAGCACGGCCAGGCCGACGCCGACGACGACGGCGGCCTCCTTCACATCCAAAGCCACTTGCGGCGACGTGGGCGGCGAGTCGTGCGCCGAGCGAGCGCCCGACTTTGAGGGCGCGGCCGATGTGCCCAACGTGGACAGCGCACCCGACCGAAGACATGGCGATGCTGCAGATGTCGAGGAAGCACATGCAGCAGGCTCGGCCTCGCCAGGCAAAGCGCCCGCCCACCGCGCGGAATTGCGACGAGCGGACACGAAGCCGCCGGCGCCCCGTTGGCCGAAGCGGTCCGTCAAGTGTGTCGGGGTACGGCTGGCCCCCCGCCGTGGGCCGCTGCTGCCCCGACGCTCGGCGCGCGCGGGACTGCGGGCGTCGAGTTTGCCGAAGCCTGCCGGGGGCGCGACAGCGCGACTAGCCCGCCGCCGTTGGCCGATGCAGCCCTCGCGCCGGCCGAACCAGGGCCCGATGTTCCGCCGGTGGCCATGGCCGCCCTTCCGGTCGGGCCAGCGTTGGCTGCGGCGGCTGCAGCGACGGCGCCGCCGCCCATGGCCCTGCGCCCGAGGCCGCCGTGCGGTTGCCCCCCAAGAGGCTAGAGGGCGTCCTGCCGCGCGCGGAGCCCACTGAGCGCGGGCGCCCAGAGGCGAGACGCCGTGGGGGACGGGCGAAGGCCAGACGACAGAGCCGATGCCGGCAGACGACCAGATGGCTGTTGGAGAGGCATCGGAAACCGCGGAAGGCCGATGCCAATAGGAGCAGGCAGGGCGACTCTCGCCAGCAGGCGCGCCAGGCCCAGCGCGCGCACCGCGAGAGGCTGGCAGCGGCGAGGGGTGACGCTGGCGCCTCCCAGGCTCCGACGCCGCGCGCCGAACCTGCCGTCGCGGGCCAGGTAGACGCCGCGTCGGCGGCGAGTTGTATCTGCCTCCTCCTCCCTCCGCGCGCGCATCGCATGCCGCCGCTGCTGGTGGGGGTGAGCGGAGAGCGGGGGGGGTGTCGATCGCGCGTGATCAAAGGCCACGCGATGGCCACATGGGCCCGCTACATTCTGCGCGGGAAGTGCGGGGCCCACATGTCGGCCACGCGCGGAGCGAAGAGCCTCGCCGCGGAATGCCTTGGTCCCCTCCCGTGTTGGAGCGAGCGCACGCCTGCTCAGAAGGGCAGGCGAGCTCGACGCGAGAATCTGCTGAGTAATTTGCATCCCGCCGCGGGTGCGAGCCTCGACGACGCCTGGTCCTTGGGGTTCGGGGCCTCGGGTGGCTCGATGCGTGCTTGTGCCCTTCGGGCTCTTTGGGCTCGTGGGTTCTGGTCGTGTCGCGGGCTCGCTCCGGTGGTGCACGCCCGCATGGAGTGGCTTGGGTGTTGGGTCTGCTGGACAGTGTTCGGCCTCTGTGGCCTCGCCCTGGCCCCTCCGTTCGGATGGCCATTTAGCGGCGAGTTTGGGCGCCCATTGCGTTGGGCGCTAAGTCATTAATTCGATGTTTGGCCCGTTGTGTAGTTCGCGAACTTCGGAACGTTGCTCGCAGGGGGGCACACACAACATATCAACTATAAGCGGCGCATGTTGGACTCTATGCACGGGGGGCGGAAACCATTGTTTCGCGAAGAGAGTTCATCAAAACCTTCAAATTCAAGTAACCTGAAGCGCAACTGCCGCGCAACAGTGCGGTGGCGGATCTTGAAGGACCCCTGGGTTGAGCCCATTCAGCTCACTGGCGTCAAGGACGAGCCCTTCCATCTGCGGGCTGCCCACCACGCACAACAGCAGCTTCTCAACATCGCCGTGCGATTGAAGATCGGGCTGTCGGACAGCGAACGGCAGTCCCTGCGGCAATGCCAGGAGGTCCTGCGCAGACTCATGGATGAAGGGAGCGATTTGGGCAGCGGCAGTCCAAACGCCAGCCGGGGGCGCCCGGCCCTGGCGGCGGTGCAACCGCAGAGGGCCGTGGAGGCCAAACCCTGTGCCGCGCCCTTGGGCGCGCTGCGCCTCACGCTGTTGTCTGCCCAGAGCACCACGCAGAGGTTGCCCGTCCCGCCGGAGGGCGCCGCGGTGGCGGCCCAGGCTTCGTGGTCGGGCGCTCTCGGCAAGATCGGCTGGGTCGACCGCGAGGATGCCGGCCCACCACCGAAGGGGCAGGTCGGCACGGCGGTTCGGGCAGACGCAAAGAGTGGGGGCGGCTTCGGCGCCACAGTCTGCGTGGTGCCCGGGCTCCCGGCGGGAGCCGGTGGCGGCGGCCTCGCGGTCGCAGGCGGCAGCGCGGAAGCGCGTGTCGCGGAGGAGCTCGCAGCCGAGGTCGGGTCCTTTTTTGCAAGCTGTGATTACTTTCTCTGGCCGCACGGGCGCGACATCTTCCTCTCGGATGCGACGAATGGGGCGAATTGCCAAGGGGCGGGCATTACGCGCATTCGCCTGGGAGTCTCGCCGAAAACTTGGATCCTTGGCACCGTTGATCACATGGATTGCTCCTCCCTTGCCTTTGCCCTTGATCACATGTGTTGCTCCTTCCTTGCCTTTTCGCCCCTATCGTCGCCTCTGATCCTCCATCGCGCCGAGATACCAATTCACGATCCGTCGAGTGTGGCCACACCTCTAGACCTCTCGCTCGCGAGCCACGAGGTGTCGCGCAGGTACAGCCTGGACAGGGACGTGCATGAGATCACCGTATCCCCGCACGACGACAGGATGCTTCTGCTGACGCTTCGCAGAGGTCTGAAGCTCACGTTTCGCAGCAACGGGGAGGTCAGGCCCTGGCTGTCTCTTTTGAAGAGCGGCCCGGTGCAGATCCATGATCCGAGGCCCGTCAGGCTGCAAGACGTACTGCGAGAGCCCAGGGAGGCCCAGGCAGAGCCGGCGTCCTCTTTCCTGTACACCCTGAGCAGCGCGATTCCGCACACTGCTTGCAGAGCGGTCCTGCAGAGCCTGGACCAGCGGGAGGCGCCCGCCATGGTGTGGTTCTCCCACGGGGGCACCGTGCTGACCTTTGCGCTGTCCCCAGACGGTGACCTCGTGCGGGACGGCGCCGACGGCCTCGCGGCGCGGCCCGCGGCAACCGCGGGCGCCGACCTCGCCGACCCAGGGAGGCCGAGCCCACAGGAGACCCCGGCAGGGGGGCGCTGCGGCGGGGGCCTCCCCTCCGTCGTCTACGTCGGAGAGGAGCTGGAGAGCCGGGCCCTGGGGGTGTACGCGGCGGACGTCAGGGCCGCGGCGGAGAGGACCGCGGTGGTCGGGGCTTCGGAGACGGGGCCCTGGGGGGGGGTCCCTGCGGGGAGAGGAGCGGGCTTCCAGATTGATCTCAGTTGTTCGAGGCCTCCTCGCCATCGGGGCCCCATGTCTCAGGGCCCCATCTCTGAAGTGCCGAGGTGGAGAAGGGCGCCCGCCACAGCTTCCAGCTGGACCTCCTGCTGGCGGACGGCACTTCGCTGCGGCTCTCCTTCGGGTCGCACGTCGTCCTGCGACAGTTCTGGTCCAGCATTGCAGGCCTGCGGGCCCGCGTCTTTCCCACGGTTCCGCCCCCTCGGATGCTGAACTCGCGACGTGGCGTGTACAAGACGGGCGCGTCGCAGGACCCGCATCAGAGTAACAACATAAACATACATGCTTGGAGGTCCGCACGGATTTCTTGGATCGGCGCTGGACCCCCCTGGCGGCGCCTCCGGCTCCGCCCCTGGCGGGAGGGGTCCCAGCGCCGATCAGTCAGTGCGGGCCTCGGAGAGTACATGCAGCTCGCTCTGTTTCCTGAGGACCGGGACGGGGTGCGTGGCTGTCTGGAGCTGAAGGTGCTGTCGGCCTGTGGCCTCGGGCTCACAGACCCAGACTCCAAGGCGACGCTGCACGGCCTGGCCCGCCGCCAGTCCCTCGGCTGCGCCGAGGCGGCGAGACCGCCCGACGTCGTTGGCAAGCCTGTGGTGCAGGTGCGAGCGTACATTGATGGGCATGTTTTCCACCACCACCATAAGTTGGAGTAGGGAAGGAGGTGGTGGAGGAGGAGGAGGAGGAGGAGGAGGAGGAGAAGGGGGAGGGGGGGGAGGAGGAGGACCCCGTCCCCCTCCAACTGATGGTGGTGGTGGTGGTGGAAAACAGGCCCGTCATACATACCCCACCACCTGCCGCCGCGCCGGTGCGAGGTGAGGATGACGGCTCCGCTTCCAGAGCGCACCTGCAACCCCGTGTGGAGAAACGTGTTCCTCACAACGGTGAACTTCGAGGCCCCCGACCCGCCTCCCGGCGACTTGCGCCTGGAGGTCTGGGACGTGGGCTCGAGCTACAAGCACAGGTTCCTGGGAGAGGTGTGCGCGCCCTTCCCTGACAGACCATGCCGGAGGCAGTACCAGCTGAAGTTGGAGCACAACGCCAGCAAGATGGATGACGCGACCAAGATCGTCAATGGCTATTTGTCCTTCCAGGTCAAATTCGGTTCGGGCGACCTCTTCACTCTCGATCGCGAGCTAGAGGATGTATCACTCGTCCCTGCAATCGAGTCGCACTCCGTGACTGGGCAGCTTGTGCTCACCATATCTAAGGGCAAGTCCATTCCTCGCAGTGATGTCCTGCCTACTTCGGACCCGTACTGCTTGGTTTACGTCGCCGCGGGGCCCAAGCAGGTTGTGTCTTGGAGAACCGCCACGAAGTTGGCTACCCGCGACCCAGTCTGGGACGAGACCAGGGAGTTCTCGATCAATTGGCCTAAAAGCGAGGTCGGGGAGGCGGCGATCGTGAGAGTCGAGGTCTGGGACTACGACGTCTTGACCGACGACGACTTCTTGGGCGAGGTGACCTTCCCCCTCCCAGGCGCCGAGTGCGACGACGCGCTCGAGCTGGAGCTCCAGCCCAACCGAAAGAAGGGTGCCGTCTTCACGCAGGGTAAGCTCTCCATCAATGTGCTCTTCAAGGAGCAGTTCTCACAGCTGGAGGAGCCCGAGACGGGGCTTACCCCCTACGAGAAGGCCTTCGCGCGCTACCACGGCGCGCGTCCGGCGAACGACCCGCTGGCGCGCGCGGTGGCCTCTGGCCTGCTCTTCTTCCACCTCGGGCCCCGCAGGCTGCTGGCTGGCCTGCTGCCGCCCGCCTTCCGGCGCGCCAGCTGCGGCCTCCTGCGGGGCCCGCGCGAGCTGCGCGAGCAGCGCTACTGGCTGCTGTCCTGCTCGCTGTGGTCCGTCCTGGCAGCGGCTGCGCTTGTGCTCGGCATCGTTTATCCGATCACCACACCCTGGGCCACGGCATCTCAGCCCCACGAGCCCACCACCCCAACTAATCGGGGATATAGGCCCCTCGAAGCCCGAATGGAACAGGCTACATCCCCATCTAGAGGGGTAAGTCGGCCAGTGGGGCCCAGGCCACGCCAGTGGTCACCACCCACCCAACCACCCCAACCCAACCCGAAGGCCTCAATTTACCTCCAGTTCCAGTGGGGGGTGGTTTGAGGGAACATTGCAGAACCACGTGAGGAACCCGCATCCCCCCCCCCCCAGCCCGAAATTCGGGTCTTCGGGTTGCGTTAGGGGTGGTCTGGTAGGTAGTCAAGTGGCGATAACTAGGGGTCGGTGGACCGATGCTCAGGTGCTCTGGCTCGTGCGGGACCGGCCCACCCGCTGGGGCAGCCTGGCAGAGCGGCCGCGGGCCTGCGGCGCGGGCCTCGGCCTCCTGCTCGGCGCGGCGCCCCTGGACCCCGCCGGCGTGCTGGCGGCCTTCGCGTGGCAGCACGTCGGGGGCGCCTCCTCCCGGGCCGCGCGGGCCGGCGCTCTGCCGGCTGCCGGAGACCCCGCGGCGCCCTTCTGCCAGGCGGTGGTGCTCGCCTCCTGGCTCGGCGTCGCTGTCTGCCTCGGCAGGGCGCAGGACCACGAGGCCGTAGCGCTGCTGTGCGCGGCCGGCGCGCTGCTGCTCGCCCGCGCCCTGGTGCGGCCGCTGGGCGCGTCGCTGCTGCAGTGGTACGCACTCCTGAGGACGGGGAGGAGACAAGCCGACACGAGCGCGGGCTTTCGGAGGCCCTCGCGGACTTCTCGGGTCCGCGGTGGGCCCCCCCCCCCGGCGGCGCCCTCAGGCTGGCGGCGCGCGCCAGGGAGCCGATGGAACAGCTCTGCGTGGGCCTCCGAAAGTTTGTGTTTGTGCCGGCTGTTCTCGTCCTGTGAGGGCCCAGGTTTCCAGCGGATTTGACACGGTCCTTTGGTGGTATCCTTCGGTGCTGAACGTGCACGGCTTGCTCGGGCAGGCGAGCTGAGCGCTGCCCGGGCCAACCGTCAGGGCTGGCGGACCGCAGGCCGGCACCGCCGCCGCGAACCTGTACAGCGGCGGCCCAGCGCCGGTTGAGCGGTGGCCATACAGCGGCCGCGCCGCTGGGCCGTGGAGCACTGCAGCGCAAAACATGCGCTGCCGTACCACGCAGGCCAGGGCCAAAAGTGTGCCACTCAGCCCCCCCTCGAGAGAGGGCCGAGTCAAGGGAGGAAGGGGCACCTCGACGCCCATGGCTGGCGCTTACTGGACGGACCCTGAGACCGGGCGTTGCATTTTTTCACATTCTGCGTCTTCTACCGGTTTCGGGCCACACGACCATCACGGATCGGTCTGCCTCGAAAACGCCACGGAATGGTTTGGCATGGGGTTTTTGTCGTGATTTTTCGCGATGCTGCATTTTTTGCCACGTCGGATCTGAGGGGACGGTCTTGCGTTCGCAAAGCAGTCCTGAACTATTCGGTCCTTTCCTTCGGTGTGTCGACCAGGATGCCTCGCGTGTAGAGGGTGCTAATTATGAAGGAAGTTCTTCTACCCTCTGACGAGGGCGGTCGGCGGAGGCGCTGGCGGGACGCTGGCGGAGGAAGGAGGCAATACGGCAGGTTCGCGCGCCGCGCCACAGGGGCGGGTGTCGCCCTCGGGATGAAGGTCATGTCTTTTCTGAGGGGGGTCGCAGGGTGTCCCCTCGTGGCCACGGCTGGGCGCAGCTCGGCCCCCGGGAGGGGTCCGGGGGGATCCGCAGGCATGGCCCACGGCAGTTTAGCGCCGCTCCTACGTGGCAGCCCAAGCCCCCAAGCCAGGCCATCCCCCCGTCACCTGCCGGACGGCGGAGATCGCCCAAGGCTGATCGATCCACGCGCTGTTCCTCGGGAGGCCCCCTCCGCGCAGGACGCATCTGGGGGCCTCTCGTGTTGGCCGGACCGCGTGACTTGTTTTTTGCTTGTGGGGATGTGCTCCGTGCGTGGCCTCCAGGCAGGGGGGCGGGGGGCGGGGGCTTCGCCACGGCCAGCACGGCTCGAGGCACGGGTCGGGATGGACCCTGGTGGAATCCCCCTGGTGGAATCTTGGGGGGGGGGGGGATTTTGGATTGCAGACGACCGCGACCACTGCGGCGACAAGGCTGCGGCGAAGACGGCGGCGACGACGACGGCGACGACGATGGCGACCACGGCAGCGATGACGACCACGGCGGCGGCGGCGGCGGCAGCGACGCGGCGGTGGAAGCGGCGCGCGCCAGAACTGGTCGACGTCGCTGCAGGCTCCGCGGGGCGCGCTCTTGTCCGCCGCGCGTGGTAGGGATCGTCGTCGGAGTCGAAGCTGAAGGAGCAGAGGGGAAAAGATGAGGACGAGGAGAAGAGGGGTGAGGATCAGTCGCGGCAGCAGCTGAAGGCCTGAGGGGAGAAAAGGAGGATGGGAAGATGGGATAGGGAGGCGAGAAGAAGAGGAGCCCTTTTCGCCCTCGTAGCGAGGAGAAGTGAGGAGGAGCAGGGGGAAGAGCTTGGACCAAGGAGGGAGGAGAAGGAGGAGGAGGAGGAGGTGGAGGAGAAAGAGGAGGAGGAGGAGGAGGTGGAGGAGGTGGAGGAGAAAGAGGAGGAGGAGGAGGAGGTGGAGGAGGACGGGGGGGGAGGGAGGGGGGGGAGGAGGAGACGGAGGAGGCGGAGGAGGAGGAGGCGGAGGAGGAGGAGGCAGGAGGGGCACCATGAGGATGAGGACACGAGGAGCGCCCGCCTTTCCTCGCCAGAGGCGGCCGCGCGGGACGGGGACGCCGCGGCGATCGACAGGCTGTTGCGGTCGGGGTGCCACCCCGACGAGGCCCCCAAGGCTCGGGGCCGCCTGCGGTCACGGACATCCGAAGGATTTGTCTGTGTCGTTTTCAGTCGCAGAGTTTTTCCTGACTTCCCGCCTTTGGGTGCATTTTTGGACCCCAGGGGACATGTGCTCTTGGTTTCCATCCAGCATATTTTCCTCACTTTCGGGCTCTGCGTGATATTTTGGACCCCGCGCCATCAAACATTAATCGGGGACGAAAAGCTACCCCAAGAAGTTGGCCTCGGAGGGCCGAGGTCGAGACTTCCGCGGGGCCCCATTCTGAACAAGCCGAGACGTCGGATCTTAGGATTCCTCTCCT